CCAAGACTATTCGGTGATGTTTTACCGTAGAGATACAGCTTACAAAACCACCCTTTCACAGCGCTAATTTGTCATGGACTATCTTGACATCCTTAATTTCTACCTTTAACCTATAGAGCACGTCCCTTTTCTTAGCGATGAAATGCACTTCTTTCTGGATTTCCAACTAAATTGCATACCAGCATTTCATAAAAGTTTATCTATGAACGCTTAAGACTCAAAGTTGCTGTTACAAATCTTCTGAATAGCGTATTAAGCTTCTTTGCTGGGCACTTTTGCACGAATCCATGATGTGATTTCATACCGTACACCTATCGTATCCCCCAATAGGCACCATCGTGCAATGCAGATATACATTTGTATTTAACACCGTAACTCTACAGTGAAGCTCTACCGAGTAAGCTAATTCGATATTGGTGACCAGCATGATAAGCTGCCCGGTAGGCAAAATTCAAATGAATTTAAACTTTTGACATTTTTGATCCAGAATTATTCTGCTGCAGTTGGCATAATTGTCTGATTGTATGGTTAAAGCAAGCGTTCTGTAGGAAGGTCAAAGTTACGGATCCTTAAAAGTAGTCCACTAATTTAACGGTGATCCCCAATTACATATCCATTTTGCACGATAATCTCTGCTGTAATCTCAAACACGAGATGACAATACTCGTTCCTCATACCTTTTTATTCGTCTACATCAGCAAACAGTGAATTGGGCAGTTTTACTAACGCTCCTTTGTCATCAATGCAGCATTAAAGTTTCCTTCACTACTACTGTAGAAGCAGCGACTCAAAGAGGTTGACACTTTTATTCTATGATAGTGGGATTTGATTAAATGTCAGGTGCTAACCAAGTTATACGCGAGGCAACATTTGCGCTGGATATAAATCTTGAACCATCTGCGATCTTCCGGCTTTTAGCTCTTTTTTATTTGAATTAACGACGAGGGAACCTAGAATGAACACAATTGTTAACATAGTACTAACCACCTTCTGCACTGTTTGACACGCTCAAACATG